CCTCTCATTAAAGTCAGAAAATTAACTAAGTATATCATGTTTATTATGAAGCAAGAACATTTAAAAGTATGTGTGTTAACCTCAGGTGAAAGAATATTGAAATATACCATTTACACAAGATGATGTAGGTTCTTTTTGACTGATTTCAGGATCTGGTTTCTTTGTGCAATTTCCATAATTATGATAACTTGAGGCACTTTGCAAAGAAGCTTGATCCTCGCAGAGAAGGTGGTGATCAGCGGGTAAGCTAAATATGTTAATGACTACTTTGTATAGTTATCTGATGGAAAATACAGGGTTAATCTGTAAACATAAAACTGCTCAATGACATGTATTGCATCAAAACTTAAAGATAAGCCTATCAATCTAGTCTTACCAGAGCACAGTTGGTATCAAAATATGTTATATCTGTGTTGGAGCTTAAACAGTAACAAGATTGTGTAAGATTCATAGTTGCTAACAACGTAAGTATTTCTTCTCCCTAGCTAGGCTGGGTGTATAGTATTTTGGTAATATTTAAGATAAATTTCAGTATTCTCCTTACTGTCTAATAAAAATTTGGTCAGCTGGTAACTTAGTTTTTCCATTCTGCACTGCTATTCATGAGATCTGGGATCAGTATTTTTCACATGGTTCTCAGTGAAATCAGAGGATGGATTTCAGATTAACTGGAAGATGTAAAATCCAGCTTAAAAAGATGTACACGCTTTCATCAAGCTTATGTGCTAAAAATGGAAGCGTAGCTATGGTGATGGTAGGGGCCAGTGCCTGGTGTCTCATGTGGGGCCATATTCCAGGAAGCTAGCCCCTCTTGCCTCTCATGCTGCCACACAACTGCTCTCTGTTTTCAGCTCACTAACTCATTCAGAACCAGTGTGGCTAGCTCTGCTGGAGCTACAATTTACATTTCCAACTCAAAGTGTAGCCCTCCTCACAGAGGGTATCGAGGCAGTGCACTTGGTGTTTGTGTGGCTGCAAAAATGTCATCATTGTACTCTAGCTCATAGGTCTGGATCTGTTGACCCACAGAAAAATCAGTCAGGGGCTTGCAGACACACGAGAAGTGTTAAGGGGGGGGGGGAGCCCCAAACCTCTCAATGACATGGCCCCTGACTGAGAAGCAGAAAGACACCCACAACCCCAAACCTTTCAATGACATGGCCCCTGACTGAGAAGCAGAAAGACACCCACCACATTCTCTTTATACACTGCTGCCTGGGGGCCCAGTCTAGTAGAGTTTGTGTGCTCCAGCCCCATGGGGGAGGCTCGAGTGCTAGCATGGATTCCCCAGTGCTGGGGGGGAGCCATGAGCCTCGGAGACCAGATCCAGGCAAGCCCAGGGGCCTTAGGTTCCCCACCCCTGCTTTAGATTAAGGCCTCCTTTCTGTTTCCAGGCTCTGGAGAGGGTCACTCCATTCCTTTTGTGCTAAAGGATATTAAATATGTTATGGGTGCTTGAGGTTATGAGGCAAACAATGATATCTTTTCCTGAAGGATTTTACAAGGATTCGATAGTCTCCCAAATGGAAGATAGAGTAGTATGAAAAAGTTACTTTTGTTTTTATTTGCATGTACATTTAACATTCCATATTAAATAGTTAGAAAGAGAGCTCTATGTATAGCTGGAAAACTTACCTTAACTATTTGTAATAAAATATCACAAAGTGGAGACAGGTGGAGGTTCAGTCTGTTGGCATTGAGAGCAAATATCTGTAACACACAGATTTGTTTCTTTCTTCAAATACACTAATAAATAATGTATGTTGCTTAAACAACTAGCATTCCTTTGGACCATTGGACTATGAAAGTCTCCAGCAAGAACTTGCTTTGAAAGACACAGTGTGGAAAAAAGTGTCACCTGAGTCAAACGAGGACATCTTCAGAACCATAGTGTATAGAATGGAAGGTCGGGGAGAGCAAAACTAAAGGAATGGGTTCTAGTTTCATAAAGTTCTGCATTTTACAAGCCCTCAAGCATCTCTAGATTAAAGAATGTCAGTTTTGTTTCCTTCATATTTTTGGTTATATATAAACTTTTCTCTTTTATTGTGCAAATACTGTGTATGCAATACCAAAAATAGACTATTAACATTTAAAAAAATCTGCCAAACCACTTTCTTAGTTCCTTAAAGTAAATTTATTGTTAACAGAAAAATCTAAATGTTTTAAAACATAGGTTCTTTGTTATATTTGAGAATTTGTACATGAATTAAAGGTGGTTTTAATAGAGTTCTAAGAAGATTTTGTAATGTGTCCTCTGACCATATCTGGAACATAGAGAAATGCAAGTATCTAGAACATAAAATAGTACCATATCTAGAACATAAAATAGTACACCAAAATAAAGTAAGATGACAATCCCCAAATAGGTATACATGAAACAATCAATTTGCACCTGTTTCTTTTGTTTCATGTGCACCCACAAAATATGTTTAGCATAAATAGATCCCTTTCGTACATCATATTAGCAAAAATAAACAGTTAATTACCAAATTGTATTCTTTTTAGCATGTTTTAAATTATGCATGTTAATATTCAATTAATAGAAGAGGAAGTAGCTTTGTATCTTTCAGAGCTGCTTTAATTTCATAGCTAGCTAACTTAGGAAGAGAGAGCTTTCTTACTAAAGTGTTCTGAGTGCTCCTCTAGGAGCTGTCCTACCAGCTGCCATTCTAAAAATACTACACTCCACTTTTATTTTAGAGAATGTAAACAATCTTAGTTTTAGAGGGGTAGGTAAAGCGAAAATATATTCCAAGTAAAAAAGAAAAATTGGTAAAGATTTTTAAAACGGTTTTAAAAGTAAGTATTAATGACTGCAAATAAAAGTACTTCAGTTGTTCTTCTAGCTGTGTTGGTCCCCGGAGAGTTGATGACAAAGAATGGTGAAGTGATCTTTTATTGGACCACTACCTTTATTGGTGGAAGGAACAAGCTGTTGAGCTCCATAGAGCTCCTTTTCTTTCTTCAGACCTGTAAAACAACTCTGAAGTTTGAAAGCTTGTTCTTTCCACTAACAGATGTTGGCCCAATTAAAAAAAAAAAAATTACATCACCCACCTTGTCTTGCTCTGAATTTTTTAGCAGTTATCTCTCTATCTATCTGTCTATCTGTCTATCCATCTATCAAAAAATAGAAATGGTCCTACCCTTTGTGTTGTATCTACTTAATATCTCTTTAGTTCTTTCCTAGTGACAACATTTCTGTCTTTAAGATGTTCATAATCTGCTGTAAATCTCAGATATTGCTCTATTCATACTGTGCAACAGTTTGATCTAGTATGAAATGGTCAATATAAATCTTAGAAGTAGGGCTGTCAAACTTAACATTAATCACAAGATTTTTTTAAACTATTAATTGCAGTTTTAATCACACTTAATGAAATACTATTTTAAATATTTTTTAATGTTCTACATTTTCAAAAAGTGAATTACAACATGATATAAAGTTGTACAGTGCTCACTTTTACAGGGTAAAAATATAAATATATAAGAAATGGCATTTTTTAGTTCCCCCTCATACAGATACTGTAGTGCAACTTCTGTATCATGAAAGTGCAATTTATAAATGTAGATTTTTTTTTACATAACTGCACTCAAAACCAAAATGATGTAAAACTTTAGAGCCTACAAGTCCATTCAGTCCTACTTTTGTTCAGCCAGTGTCTGCTTATTATTTACAGTGTCACTTGAAAATGAGAACATGGCAGTGTTGTAGCCAGTATTGCAAGATGCTTAAGTGCCAGATATTCGTATGACCCTCCATGCTTCATCAGCATGGAAGTTATGTCCTCTGGAATGGTGGCCAAAGCATGAAGGGACATATGCATGTATATCATAATTGATATGAATATACAGGCAGTCCCCAACTTACGCGGATCCGACTTATGTCGGATCCGCACTTACGAACGAGGCTTTCTCGCCCTGGAGCTCGCAGGCAGCGGTCCACCACCTCGACCTCCGGGGCGAGAAAAGCTGCTCCCGGTGCCCCTGGTCTGCTGGGGACCGTCTCCAGCAGACCAGCGGCAC